GTGTTGGCAGTATCTTTTATTGAGCAGAAGTGATGCTTCAATTAGTCCAGCAAAGCTGGATGCTGAGAAGAATGGCTGCCTAAAAGCCAAGCTTCATCCTGGCTCTAATATAACTTTTGCTGAGCATGACTACAAATAGTCTTTAAAATTTATTGTAAAATGAGACTGCAAGATTGATTAAATATAAAGAAATAAGAAGAAACCATTCATACACTAGTTTAAATTGAAGGAGAAAGAAGTTGCTTTGATTCCATATGGTTTTCAGGAACAGGAAAAATGGTGATCCCCCAGAAATAGTAACAAAAGAAATATAACCTGATGAAGAAGGTTCTCTGAAGTAAGAAATTTCTTCTTTACATTTTTTAACTCAGTTAATGAACAGTTGAGTAAATCCTAGATTGATTCTAAAGAAGACCTCACTTAATCCTGGAATAAGTTAACCGAGTCTATAGAAACTAAATTAACAGAAATGGATGAGTAGTTGAGATGGCACAGACAACATCTAAAGCAAAGGGACAAGGTCAGAATAAAGCTGTATTTATGAAAATCCAGGACTTTAAAATAAAATGGGAAAAAATGACAATCATATTCAGATGTTAAGAGTTAAAAAAATGTATGATTTTGCAGAGGCCGATTTAAAAGAACTATTTTTGGCTTGGATCTTGATTTGGATTAAAGGTATTTTGCTGGATTTTCAGTTAGATAAATGTAATACCAAAAGGGTTCACCATCTGCCAAGACAAAGGAGGACTAAATTTAATGAAGCCCAGATGCATTCTGGTGGGTTTTATACATATAAACAAGCACACACATACCCCAAAGCTGGTAGCAACTTTGAAAAAGCTTCCTGTGCCGCAATTTAATAACACAGAAATAATTGTTTCATAAAAAAATCCTATGAAACAAGATTTATATCCTTTTACTTCAAAATTGCAGGACATTAAACATAGGTAGGTTCCTCTCCCTACACTGTGAATGATTAAGAAGGGAAAAGATTTGTGGTTTCAGTAAGAAGGAGCTGATTGCACAGTTTATGGCTCTTAAAACTGAACTATCACTAGGAGCTGGAGACCAGAAGATGAAATTAATGAGAGGGGTGGCAGCAGTGTAGAGATGCAGGAAAGCTGAGCTCATCCTGATGCTGTAATAGGATAGATAGCTCAGAATTAATTTTTTTCAGATAGACAACTTTGATCTATGAAGAATAAAGAAATGAACTGAGGGTGAATCTTTAATATCTATTGGTTATACTTGATACGAGGGAGAGAGAGACAGAGAGAGAGAGAGAGAGAGAGAGAATGTAAACATTATTAAAAGAAAGCAAGTAATATCTGTTTGCAATTATTAAAAGCCAGCCAATATATAAATATTATATAAAAAATTATTTAGTTTTCTCCTTCTCTGTAGGCTTTAGAGAAGAATAGCATTAGTGCCTCTGGAACATTCCTAACTTTTCCCACCCTCAAACGTACCATATATTTTTTTAAAATTAAGATAGGCATCTATATAGCAGTGGAAGATTTATTTTCATCTTGAGAACTGAGATAATAAGTCCTTGTTTAGTGTTAAATTCAAGGAATTGTTGGATGAGGTGGATTGAATCTTTATTAATTCAGGGGCTCAAAGTAGTTACATTAAGTATAAAAGGATTAGAACATACAGTGAACACCTATGTATGAATCAATTTATAAAAGATATGAAGCCTGCAATAACCATGTTACACAAAATCTATAGATAATCTTGATTAGGAAACAATTTAAAACTTAAGGGTCTTCCAAATCCAGAGGAGTTTCTATTCTACTAGGTTAGTTCAATATTATTTCAAAATACAGAGATATTAAATGGGATTAAAGTTCCCCTGGTATTCTTTTATGTCCCAAACAAGTTACAACTATTTTTTTTTTAAAGAATAGCTACTCACAAATTCACCAGATATTATGTTCATCCTGGAGAAGGCCTATCTAATGTGGTCACTAAGTGTTAACAATCACTTGATAGCACATAATTAATCAGCAAAATTACAAAACAGTGCAAATGATGTAGATAGGTCTGATTAAAATAAGAGACCATCCACCTGTGGAATGTGAATTACAGTGAGTAATCAATTATAGACATATCCAATGCTGAAAGTTTAATTTAGTTTTGTGCTCAAATTCCCAAAGTTCTGAAATGATAAAGCAAACTATTTAAAATTACCTTTTTGATAGAACTAATAAAACCAAGTATGCAATGGGAAACTTAAAGCAGTTTGTAGGAGGAAAATGCATTAAATAATTACCAATAATTAGATAAAAGAAAAGGGAAAATTGCAAATACAAGGGTGAAATTAATTTATTGCTGTGCTCCAAAAATACCTTTATAGACAATTGAAGATTAAAAGAACAAAATTAGAACTGGTGAATGAAATGATGGTCTTTGCACTAAATCCTCAACAAAAATATTCTTTTAAAAATTTAAAATCCCAGTTATTGGCATATGAACTAAAATCAATGAAAAAATCAGAAATATACCTGGAATAGTTAAAGAATTCATGAAGTTCTATGCTGTACTCTATACAGGTATAGAGATTCAGATCCTGTTAAAATAGATAAATATCTGGTTTACACCAGTTAAGATGGAAGCTAGAGCAATGCTAGACAGACCAGTAGATTTTGGAAAGAGCTGTTAAAAACATGAAAAGAAATGCCTAGGCCAGATGGACACATGTAGACTTTTATAAACACCATATTTCATACTATCTTTGTTCAGACTAGCAATGATGTAATGACAAGACATAATTTTCCCAAGACTTGGAATCTTCATGAATCATCATTCCTAAATCATATTAAAACATCAATATAGGATTCATATCATCCTACTGATTAAATGATGAGTTTAAATTTTTAAACTTAGTTTCAGCTCTTAGAGTAAAGCAGGTACTTGCTGAAATTTTACATATAGATCCAACTGGCATTGTACGAAGTAAATATATCTCAGATCCAATTCAGAAGCTTCTTAATATGATTTTCCATTGTAAAGAATCAGGAACTCCTTTAGTTATCTATTTTGTAGATATTCCTAAGGCCTTTGATTCAGTAAATTGGATTTATTTGAAAGAAGTGAAGGGCATTGTTTTGATACACAATTTTATACTCTCTCATAATGTGTGGGCATGCATGT